TGCCCTTCGCCTGCACTCACCCCCTGCCCCTCCCACCAGCTCAGCTGCGACTTCTCTTTTGGGTTCCCGGCCTGACAGCTCTTGCCGTCTGTGCCTCACGTCCACACAGATGATAACGAACCCCTCGTGGGGCGGTTAGGATGACAAGGTGAGACGGCATCTGTCAGCTCTTACAGAGACGCAGGCAAACAGTGCGGCCCCGAGCCCCCTGCCCTTTGCTCCCCAGCAGGGGGGCAGGCTGCCGCTCCCCCCTCATCCGGCACTGTGGTTGAATGGTCCTGCTCCCTGCTGGGCTGAGAGCTGCACGAGAGAGGGGTCTGTCGTTTTCCTTCACCGTCCTGAGTACCCAGCATTAGGACATGATGAATGAATATGCAAGTGTGTGTTCCTTCCCCATGGAGAGTGTTCCTGCGAAGAAGCCTGGGATTGTCACCAATACCACAGCCAGTACCGAGGGGCAGTTGGGGGCAGTGAAGGGAGCAGTGGCTGTGAATCTGCGATCTCCCGTGAAACTGATAGCCAGCCCAGTCCCACTCTGAGCTGCCCATGAGGGAGTGTGCATTTGCTTTTGGACTTGTTGGGGTAAAGTCATGGAATTCTTCTCCCTCCCCCCTGTCCTGAGCTGGAGGGGCTCCCTGCCTGGGGTAGTCCCTGCTCACCACCTCTGGAGTGACTCTCTGGCCCCTGTCTTTGGGAGATCCTGCCCCACCGCCTCCTGTTGAACCCCTCGCCTCTCGGCACACGCTGATACTGCTCCTCCAAGATGCTGAAGCAGAGGCGAGTCAGCTGGGAGGGCATGCAGCCCAGGAGATAGGCTGCTCAAGACCCACCCCACCTGCTGGGACCATGGCGTGGCAGAGTAGCAGGGGCAGTGGAGAGGGGGAGCTAGAGGAGGGCAGGAGGGCAGTGGGGGCTCAGGCAGTGGTTCCAGAACCACCAAGTATGTAGCACTGCCTGGGCTAGAGACGCAGTGGGAGCCAGAGGCAAAGAGCCTTAAATGCCAGGCCAGGGAGCTGGACTTTACCCCGGAGGTAGGGAAGGTTTTAAGCAAGGAATATCCTGGTCCCACCCGGTGCCTTTCAGGTGACAAGGGAGGTGGGTACAACATACCTCTGTCCCCGAGTTTTCTGTGCCTGAGCTAGTGAGCCATGCTATCCCCACCCGGGTTCCCTCCGTTGCTCCTGGGGTGCCCCTGACTCAGTTTCATGCCTGTGGGGGTGGCTGGTCAGCATGGCAGTCTTGAGACCCCTCTGTCCCCAGGCCAGGCTGGCACCAGTCAGTCCTCACAGGGAGGCTCCCGGAGGGGCAGTGTGGTGGGGTGTTGGGTACTTTGGCAGTGGGTGAGCCCTGGTCCTCTTCCTGCTGTTCCAGGAATAAGCCTCCTCATCCCCCCGGACGCCATACCCCGAGGAAAGATCTATGAAATCTACCTCACGCTGCACAAGCCGGAAGACGTGAGGTGTGGCCGTGGGCCCCGTGGCTGGGGGTGGGAGGGACCCGCCTGCTGCCTTCGGTCCCGGGAAAGGCCCCTGTCCACCCACTGGGGATTGTAGGGGCGAAGAGCTGTGCCTAAGCCCCATCTGGCTCTGCAGCCCAAGCCCCTGGCCGCTGGGATGGTCTGTCCTGCCCTCGGCCTGGTGTGGGTCACTAACACCTTTCCCTCCCCACCTGTATTTCCCCACTTGAGGTTGCCCCTAGCCGGCTGTCAGACCCTGCTGAGTCCCATCGTTAGCTGCGGACCCCCCGGCGTCCTGCTCACCCGGCCGGTCATCCTGGCTATGGACCACTGTGGGGAGCCCAGCCCCGACAGCTGGAGCCTGCGCCTCAAAAAGCAGTCGTGCGAGGGCAGCTGGGAGGTGAGCGGGGAACCTACCCATGCTCCAGAAGGGAACGTGCCTAACTGCATGCTCAGCCTGGCCCACTGCCGAGGGGTGGCCCTGAGCCGCACCCCCACCTCTGCCCAGTCTCTGGCCACTTGCAGCCACGGCCGGCCCCAGGGCTCTGAGGCTGGGCAGAACTGACCCGCTGACCCCTGCCCGCAGGATGTGCTGCACCTGGGCGAGGAGGCGCCCTCCCACCTCTACTACTGCCAGCTGGAGGCCAGCGCTTGCTACGTCTTCACTGAGCAGCTGGGCCGCTTTGCCCTGGTGGGAGAGGCCCTCAGTGTGGCTGCCGCCAAGCGCCTCAAGCTGCTTCTGTTTGCGCCGCTGGCCTGCACCTCCCTCGAGTACAACATCCGGGTCTACTGCCTGCATGACACCCACGACGCACTCAAGGTATTGCCCACCCCTCGCCCCTGCCCCGGGAAGCCTAGCTGTGCCTGGCCCTGCTTCCTGACTGCCTGGGAGCAGTGGGGAGGGGCCTGAGCTGACCACCTGGGGCACTGCAGGAGGTGGTGCAGCTGGAGAAGCAGCTGGGGGGACAGCTGATCCAGGAGCCTCGGGTCCTGCACTTCAAGGACAGTTACCACAACCTGCGCCTGTCCATCCACGATGTGCCCAGCTCCCTGTGGAAGAGCAAGCTTCTCGTCAGCTACCAGGTGAGGGCCAGGGCCATGGCCAGAGCACAAGGGGCCTCGAGTTTGGGCTCACCTGACACCTCCTCTGCACCCCCATCAGGAGATCCCCTTTTATCACATCTGGAACGGCACGCAGCAGTACCTGCACTGCACCTTCACCCTGGAGCGTGTCAGCCCCAGCACTAGCGACCTGGCCTGCAAGCTGTGGGTGTGGCAGGTGGAGGGCGACGGGCAGAGCTTCAACATCAACTTCAACATCACCAAGGTGGACGGGAGGGACTGCAGCACTGCCGTGTTGTGCTCCCACTACCAACTGCCCACCAGCCCCAAAACGCTCCCGCCCTGTCCACCCTGGCCCTCACTCTCCCTCCCACCTGTCCCCAAGCCCCACTCCTCCTAGAAACCCCTTGGCAGCTTCCTCCCAGTCTCAGAGGGAGGGAGGCACAGGTGCAAATGGGACTTGAGGAGGGGAGTGAAGGGGACGTGGGAGCAGCAGGAGGGGAAACCCTGGAGGTCTTCCCGGAAGAGGTGCTTTGTCCTGGGCCCCAAAGAATGAGCCAGTTTGGCTGCAGCATTAAGGAGAAGAGCATTTCTGGCAGTGGGAGCTGGGCAGGGAGGACGCAGGCTGGGAGGAGAGCTATGTGTGAGTGTCAGCAGAGGCTGAGGAGAGCGATGTGGAGGGGAGAAGGGCAGAGAGGGAGGGGGGCCACAGAGGGCTCTTCTGCTCACTGACTGTGTGGCTTTGGGCAGGTCACCACACCCCTGCGCCCCAGCAAGCAGAGCCTTGGCACGAGAGATGCCAGGAAGTGCCAGTGCTCATGCCACCCCCGTGCTCCGCGGGGCTTGGGAGCCCCACAGCAGGAGGTGACAGTGGCCCCAGACCTGGGGAAAGTTCTAACGGGTGCCTCTGTCCCTCCCACCCCCAGGACACAAGGTTTGCTGAGCTGCTGGCTCTGGAGAGTGAAGGGGGGGTCCCAGCCCTGGTGGGCCCCAGTGCCTTCAAGATCCCCTTCCTCATTCGGCAGAAGATCATTTCCAGCCTGGACCCACCCTGTAGCCGGGGTGCCGACTGGCGGACTCTGGCCCAGAAACTCCACCTGGACAGGTGGGCGGAAGGGGGGCAGAGACGGCCTGCGCAGGCCACCAACAGTGCTGCCTGGGCTGGGGCCGGGGTGGACAGGAGGCCCTCCGGGGCCTGTGCCGTATCCACTAGTGGCCGTGGCAGTCAGTGCGTTTGACTTGGGGGAGGCTCTGCCCTGGGGTGGGCCTGGGGGGCAGGAGGTATCAGCTGGGGCCAGACCAGGCTGCTGACGGCCTCCCTCCTCTCCACAGTCATCTCAGCTTCTTTGCCTCCAAGCCCAGCCCCACAGCCATGATCCTCAACCTGTGGGAAGCGCGGCACTTCCCCAACGGCAACCTCAGCCAGCTGGCTGCAGCAGTGGCTGGACTGGGCCAGCCAGACGCTGGCCTCTTCACAGTGTCGGAGGCCGAGTGCTGAGGCCGGCCGGGCCCAACGCCTACACTCTCACCAGCTTTGGCACCCACCGGGGACAGGCAGAAGCCGGACAGGGGCCCTTCCCCACACCAGGGAGAGCTGCTTGGACAGGCCCCCTCCCGGCCAAAGTTGTCCCTTAACGCTGGTCCTTCAGACCCTGCCTGAACTCCCACCTCTCCATGGCCTGCCTGGCCAGGCTGGCACTGCCACCTGCTCACATTCGGCCTCCTGGCCCAGGGTGGGCAGTGCCTAGAGCCTGGGCCGGGCCCGGCCCATCTGTGTGTGTGTATGTGCGTGTGATGCTACCTCTCCTCCCGTCCCTCTCCAGGGGCCCCGCATACACACAGCCATGCACGCACACACTGGGCCTGAGCCAGGGCCCCGGAGCTCCTGCCTGAGCCGGACCTTATGCAAACATTTCTGTGCCTGCTGGGCAGGGGCACGTCTGCGGGGCCCGGCTCCAAGCCTCCAGGACCGAGGGCCACAGCTGGACAGGGGGTAGCCCCTGGATTCAGGCACACGACCACCACACGAGCACATGCCACGCATGCCTCGTGTGCTCATCTCACACGCATCCCTCTCCTGGGTCATGCAGACACCCCACCACCACACACATCTCATGCTGTACACCTGAGGCTGCTCACATCTCACGCCTGGTGTCGGTGCACATTTGCCTCTCACGTGCTGCCCTCTCCACCCACCCAGGGACACCCCACGGCTCCTCCCTGCCCCTGCCCCTCCCCCAGCCTCGAGGTGCCCTGCCCGGCGGGGCCTGTGAATATGCAATGGGAGTCCCGGGCTGTACAATGGCGAGTGTGCGTGGCGTGGCGTGCCCGTCCCTAGGGCTGGCTGGTGCCCCACGCGGGGCCTGTCGTGCGAAGCTCGTGTCCTGACTTTGTCTTAAGTGCATTCACGCACTTACACTTGGCCTTATGTACACAGCCTTGCCCAGCCGCCGGGGCGCGTAGGGATTTTATCGGACGTGAATGTAAATAAATTATATATATATATTGCTAACCTGAGTGCTGCTTCTCTCGGGGAAAGCCAGGGAGCAAGGCCAAATGGCCACAGAGGGGTCACACGTGGGATGTCCTGGGAGTCTGGGTGGCTGGGCCTGGCTGGGAGACAGGCGGATTCCAGCCCGGGTCCTGCAAGGCTGGGCTGAGACCTCCTCAGCCTGGAGACTTCCTCAGACACGAGTCGACTGTGCTAGGCGGCAGGCAACGGCAGTGACCAAAGCCGCACCTTTGCCGGACCCATCCTCTGACTGCAGGAACGTGACTGCGCAGCAAGGGGCCAGCTCCCGCACTGTGGCCGCCACCAGGCTGGAGAAGCTGTGAGGGGAGGGCTGAGGTGAGCCCAGGCCGCCAGCCCCACCTGGCCACACGTCCCTCCCCAGCCCTCGCACCCAGACTCACTGCGGGTGCAGCTTGTAGAGTGTGCCATCCACCCCCACGGACACCGCCAGCTCTTCCAGGCCCCGGTTCTCCCGGATTTTCTCCACCACGGCAGCTACACCTGCCCCACAGAGCTGGGCAGCCCGCTGGGACACGGCCTGGCAGACCTCTAGCACCATCAGGGCGTCGTCTGAGGTCAGGGGCAGCCCCAGCTCCTCTAGGATGGCTCGGACCTGCCGCAGGGCCAGGCTGTCGCTGGGGGCCAGGAAGGAAGAGAGCAGAGAGGCAGGTCATGACTCTTCCCACTTCATCCTCCAGAGCGGACCTCGACACCACCCAGGCCAGCAGTCCCTAACAGCAGGCGGAAAGACTCCCTGGAGTAGGGGAGGCAACGTAGGCCTCGGGCACCTTTCGATCTCAGAGAGGAACTTGGTCTTGAAGATGTCCCTGGTCTGAAGGCGCTGGGTCTGCTGGCCCCGGAAAAGAACGCCAAGGCTGGTTAAATGCAATAGGATGTGGCGGACGATCTCCCCCAGATACATGCCGCTGATCATCTTTTCAAACCTGCGTGAACATATGCGTGCACACACAGCAGAAGGCCCCACTGGCCACTGACCCCAGCACTGGTCACGGCCAGCCACCACCGTCTGGGCCCAGCCCACACCTCTGCTTGCCAGGGTTGATGGACGCCTGGTCCACACTTGCATCAAAGCAGGTGCTGAGCGTGTCCAGAGAGCCATCATCCCCAAAGGCACCCCACTCCATGTTGATGCACATGTGGCCTGAGTCCCCGGGCACGCCCGCCACATTCCGGAGCTCCTCCATGTAGCAGGCATTGGTGCCAGTTCCTGCAGAGAGGCCAGATAACGCAGAAGCCATTTGTGGATGTGGACAAGGACCCTCTGAGCACTTCCCATACGGAGATGGAAAATCCGGGCTCATTCTCTACCTCTCTACCTCCTCATGCTCACGGCCTGTCCCTAGACCTGGTCCTCCTTCCTTCCTGACATCCCTCGTGCAGACCCTGCTACCTCCAAGCTCTGGGGACCTTCGCTTCCCTTCCCACCAACGTCAGCATCAGTGCAGCCACCATACCAACCCCAAGCGCTCCTATATGGCCCAGCTGTCTTGTCATTCCCCTGGGAGACATGTGATGCCCCCTACCCTTACCCCTATCTCTCTTCAGATGAGCAGTCAAAGCTCCCGGGATAGTCCCTTAATCCAACTAAGAAGTGCTAGGCCAGGAGCGGGGGACACAGAGAAAAATCGAAGATAAGGAGCCCCACCGTCTGGTCAGAGATCAGGCAATGAACAGCCAGCTCTGATGGAGCCTCTGTCTGCCTGTTGAAGCACTGAGGAGAGCATCATGGGAGCCCAGACCATGGGGCGAGTCTCTGCTAACAGGGTCAGGAAAGCTACAGAGAGGAAGTGACTGAAGGCAGGAAGCACAGAAAGGAAAAGGCATTCAGGCAGAGGGCACACCCTGGATAAGGGCGTCTCCTTCTTCTCCCGACACAGCTTCAGCTCCAGGCAGGTGGGCTCCTTGCTGGCCACACCTGAAGTTCCTCTCTCCAGCTGTGTATGCACACAGTAACCTGGGCACACCTGTCCCAAGTGCCTAACAGTGCCAGGTCCCGGAGTTCGAAAAGCTCCCCACCAGGAGAGGCCGCCACATGGCTCGTGTTGAGAGACCAGTGCCCAAGGAGCTGTGGGATCCCTCCTCCCCCACAGAACAAATCCTTTCTTTCGGGGCTTTCTTTGCAAATTCTACTCATCCCAGGACCCATTCCTTTCTGATCTTGGCCTTGCTGCTGCCCACATGTAAAAATCAAGTCACTCTCTGACTGCCACGTGTTGTTCTGGGCTTAACCCTTACTGAGTGGTCAGTTCTGAGAAGGCAGAGATTTCCTCTTGTTTAATGTGTCTGTGGCTACAGAGTAGGTGCTTAATAAGGACAGAATCTTGGACTGTCTGAAGGACCCTCATTGCTCATTGGTACCCTGCCCCCACCCGGCTCCAAATACCAGGTGTGTACCATGAGCCAGGGACCACGCTAAACTTTGTCCCCTCCCACTTCATCTTCATGATGCCTTGAGACAGGAATTGCTGCTATTCTTATCTCTATCTTAGAGATTCGGAAACTGAGGCTCTGATGACTTGCCCAGGGTCATACAGGTGGAAACACACAAAGCTAGTATTTCCCCCAAATCTGTACAACTCCAAAGCTCAGATTCATTTATTAGATGGGCAAACTGAGGTCCAAAGAGCTTAAATGACCATGAGTCAGTCACTGAGCTGGACTAAATAGCCAAGCTCCAGACTGCCAGCCCGAGAGATTGTTCCAGAGCCCCACTGGGTCAGACAGGAGCAATCCCACATCCCCAATGCCAAGGAAACATCTAACCGGAGAAATCAACAGAAGGCAGCAAATTGCCAAGCAGTAGGGGCATGAAAGGGCAGAGCCCTCCTCACCGACAATGAGGCCTATCTCGCAACGGGGGTCCTCATAGCCACAGGACATCATGGTCCCCACCGTGTCATTGACAATGGCAACCACATTCAGCTCCACTGCCTGCACACAAAAGGATGCTGCTAGTTGCTGGGCAACACGGTTGTCACAGCAACCAGAACTGGACCAAGAGGTCTCTACTGCAGAGGGCTCCCCTCCCAAAGTAGGAGACTCTTGGCTCCCCTCCAGGCCTGCCACACCCCGCAAAGCACTCCTAGAACAGGCTTCTACCTGTCTGCGCTTGATGGCTTCCCGCAACAGACTCACGACATCTTGGCCCTCGCAGTCTGATGCGTTGAAACCCTTGGTCCAGTTCAGGAGGATGCCCTGGGGTGGGACAGAGAGGAAGTGATAGAAAGCTGGAGGCCCTTCCAGGCTCCCTCTGCCTCCGCACAGCCTGCATCCGCCACAGGACTTCCACCCTCACCAAGCACGATTCCTTGCCTACTTTGCTGTATGGTTGAAGGCCTTGCCCTCTGCCTGCTCCCTACTCCCCAGGAGGCTTTTGGTGTGAAAAACCTATTAATAACCATCTAACCTACATTTTCCATTATTAGTTCCAGAACGCCCAGACGGTCAGAGAGTCTGGCCATTTTAAGACATTTGCCCAGAAGGAATGGCCCTTCGTAATGGGGTTAGGAATGAACAGAGCTGGTAAAGGGAGTGCTGTGTGTGAGACAGGGGAGGGGCAGAGAAGGCTTAGAGGCCCAGATGGCAGCAGATCCCGCCTTTCAAAAAGAACACCAAGTGACTCGAGAGGAAAGAATTCTCAGCTTCGGGGATGGAGCCCTGTCAATGGGCGAGTCACTCTTGTGTTCCAAATACAGGTGAAGGAGGAATGGAGAAGTCAGAACCCAGGCCCCTGGGCAGGATGGAGGTGGAGTGCCTGTATTGTGAGGAAATGGACATAGAACTTAGTGGCATGGGCTTGACTGTGCCTGGAAAGGAGTGCTCTTTTTTCAGTGTATGTCCTGTGAGAGAGGGGGCGAGGGAGCAGGGATTCGTCTGCAGCTGTTGGAAGAAAATCACTGCTCTGCTCAGAGGAGAAGCACAGAGGGTAGGTCTGGAAATCTTTGGGGCAGAAGATTTTAGGAATAGTAACCAATGGCCAGATGCAGAGGCTCACACCTGTAATCCCAGCACTTCGGGAGACTGAGGCAGAGGAATCACAAGGTCAGGAATTCGAGACTAGCCTGGGCAACATGGTGAGACCCTGTCACTACTAAAAATACAAAAATTAGCCGGGTGTGGTGGTGGGTGCGTGTAATCCCAGCTACTCGGGAAGCTGAGGCAGGAGAATTGCTTGAACCCATGAGGCAGAGGTTGCAGTGAGCCAAGATCACGCCTCTGCACTCCACCCCGGGCGGCAGTGCGAGACTCTGTCTCAAAAAAAAAAAAAAAAAAAAAATAGTAACCAACATTTTCCTCCAATAACATGTCCTATTATCCCTTTTTTTTTCTTCATTGTTCCAGGCTCATTGTCTCAAAAACAGAAAGCAGAGAATGTGATAGAATGAGAGAAAGAACCCATTTGAGAGAGACCAGATGATGAGTAATAGCCCCTGTGTGGCTGTTCTTCCTAGTATGGGAAAGGGGAGGCGAAGGGGGAAGTCAGACCCAGGTTGTTGATGGCTTCCTGAGACAGGTGTCCTGTGCCCTCCCCTCTGGGCTAAATCCCTATTCAGAAGAGATCTGAGAACAGAGGAGGCCTCTGCCCTCCTTCCCCAGGTAATGCCCAGGAAGGTGTCAAGACTCAAGAGAGGAAGTGGCAGAGGGAAGTACCCAGAGAGCAGGGGCTGAGGCACCTCCCTGATTTCCTCACACATCTGCAAATTCTGCACAGCAAAGACTGCTGCAGAGCCCAGGGGACCCCTGGGGAAGGCGATCCCCGCACTGGCTAAGTTTTCCTGAAAAGAATGTGGACCTAACATAGAAAATTAAGTTCAGTTACAGAAAAGTAATAAGACTATGTTTCTTGTCCCCTCTGGATTTGCACACTGATAATCACACCTGCTTCTCACACCTTACAAGGAATAATCAAAAGGACTGAGCAGGCTTAGCCTGGATCGGAGGAGCCCAGCAGCCAGAATGTGGTCCACTGCACACTCCATCCAAAGGACCACCATGTAAGAGAGCAGGGAAAGAGTTGCATATCAGGCTGGGCGCAGTGGCTCACACCTGTTTATCCTAGCACTTTGGGAGGCTGAGGTGAGTGGATCACCTGAGGTCAGGATTTCGAGATCAGCCTGGCCAACATGGTGAAACCCCATCTCTACTAAAAATACAAAAATTAGCCAGGCATGGTGGCATGTGCCTGTAGTCCCAGCTACTTGGGAGGCTGAGGCAGGAGGATTGCTTGAACCTGGGAGGTGGAGGCTGCGGTGAGTGAGCCAAGATCACACCGCTGCACTCCAGCCTGGGCAACAGGGCAAGACTCCATCTCAAAAAGGAAAACCAAGAAGAGGAGTTGCGTATCAGAGAGAGGTCAGAGCAGGAGTAGGGGGTGAAAATCACACGGAGGCTGGCTGGAGTAGGTGAGACGAAGCTTTTCAGTGACTACTGCTGTCTAAGAATGCAACCGTTGCCTTCAGGGACAGTGAGCTCTTCGGCAAGAGGCTTTCAAGCAGAAGCTGGGTATGTTGAGAGGGACCTTCCTGGGGGTTTGGACCAGAGGCCTGGAAGGTAATTGTTTCCGTGAGGCTTCAGGTGTGTGCATTGCAAAGTCCCTCATCCTTGTGTAAGGACAAGCTAAAGTGTGTGCTGAGTAGGCATGCGTGTCTCGGCCTGTGCCTGGCATTCTGCCACCCCAGTCAGGCACCCAACACCAAGCCAGGCACTGAGAAGGAAACAAAGGAGGAGAGAGGCCAAAAAACTCCCAGGCAACCTCAAGCCCCTGCTAGACAGGGGCAAACGCTGGTTCTCGCAGGACCCCGACGTCCATATGCCAGTGCTGCGGCTAAAACGGACAGTCTGTCCTCTGATCAGCCCCAGTCTGGGCCAGACCTGCTCCCAAATGCCTCAGGCCCTAACTCTGGCCATACCATGTCTGGGGAAACTGAGGCTGTGTGCAGGCCCAGCCCAACAGTACTGCCCCCCACCCGGCCTTTTCCCCTGCCTCCTGCTCACTCCATGAAGGGTAGGTGGATAGGATGCCCTTGGCGATCACTGCTCTGGGTCCGCCCTCACCTGATCCAGGCCAAGCTGCCTACACGGGAAGGAGAAGGTAAAACCCAGGGGAAGGCTCTGCCCACTCAGGCCCTGCTTCTGCTGGAAGTCCACGATGCAGTCCACAATGTGGTCAAAGAGCTGTGGGGAAGGACAGGTCAGGGGTAGGCACTGCTCGGCCCTCCCCACCTCTGACATCAAGGCTCAGGCTGTGGGTACCTGCTGCCCAGAGCCCTGGGCTACACTCTCAGGGATGGAGTAGATCTGACTGGTGATCTGCACAGACGTGGTCACACGTACCAGGAGGACACGGAAGTTTGTGCCTCCAAGGTCCAGAGCCAGGAAATCTCCTCGCTCTGTGGAGCAGAGACCTTCAGTGCTAGGACAGGCCTTGTGGCTCCAGCCCCAGCACACACTGTGACCCGCAGGAGCCCATATTTCTGTCCCAGGTCAGGGACAGGTCCTTACCGCTGCCATCAGGTGTGGCCCGGACATACGTGGGCAGCATGCGGAGGGAGGAGGACTCCCCTCGGAGCCCCTTGGCCATGGCCTTCCGCATCTGTGCCTGAACTGCTGCCAGTTGATCGTGGTTCAACCGGAAAGGGGCCAGGGTCTCTTCCAGCAGGCGCCGATGGGCAGCCAGGCGAGCAGCTACGGCAGTCACCATCGCTACTCCCTGGCCACCCCCATCCACGGAGGGGATGAAGGAGACATTGCACTCCGGGGCCAGGAGCATCACTGTCCCCTGCAGAATGCTGCAAAACCTACAGATACACACAGGTGCACCCAGCTTGGCCCGGGACCCCTGGGGCATGCTAAAGCCCAAGGCCCATCACTTTTTTTTTTTTAATCTTTTTAGATACCAGGTCTCGCTCTGTCACCCAGGCTAGAGTGCCACAGTGTGAACATGGCTCACGGGAACCTCAAACTCCCAGGCTCAAATGATCCTCCACCTCAGCCTCCCCAAATCCTGGAATTACAGCCATGCACCACCATGACCACGTCAGTTCTAAATCTGTTCTGTGCACCAACCATATGCCCCAATGTCCCCATGACCTCCACCCTTGCACATACGAAGGGAAGCATCTTTTCTCTCCTTGAATGTCTTCTGGCCTCCCATAGCTCAGCCTGGCCCTCTCTCTCCCTGAGGGCCCTTCATGTCCACCGGCTTGCACATGTGATCCCGGAGTGCCCTCTGGGTGTGTACCACACACGTGTTCATGCCCCCTGCTCATACGGACCATGTTTCCACAATACCTGGGGTGCCGCTCACACACTCGGCCTCCAGTGGCCACAGCGACCTGGAGTGTTTGTTGCTCACGGCTGTGCTGGAGGCGGGAGAGAACAGCGGCCAGGGCGGCAGCACAGAGCTGGGCAGCCCGCGTGCACACGGCCGCACACACACGCTGCACGAGCTCAACATCCGAAGCCTCAGGGCTCAGGCCCAAGTCCTGCAGGATAGCGTGGACACGGGCTGCCCCGGCAGAGGGGCTGGAGAGGACAGGGGGCTGGTTTGGGGCTCAGCCCAGAAGCTCTCCATCCCACTAGAGCCCCATGGCTACCTTGGGGACAGAGAATCCTCCCCTTCCCCCAAGCCCAGAATACCCTACTAAGCCGCTGGCTCCCCCACTCACTCCTCCATCTCAGCCACGTGCTCCAGGAGGATGCTGCCTTGGCTCAGCAGGGCAGGTGAGGGGCAGCCACGGAAGAGGACCCCACGTTGGGTCAAGTGAGCCAGCACCAGCCGCACCAGCTCACCCAGGTACAGGCCCCCAATCATCTTCTCAAACCTGCAGGTGGGAAGGGCGGCTAGACGGAGCCTTTTCTAAGCCCTCGGTCTACCTGGCTCTACCTCCGAGAGTTCCCAAAGGAGGATTATTTTCTTGGAAGCTCCCAAACTAGAGGCTTCAGAAGCAACAAATGGTCTCCCAGAGGACAGGTGGGTGGGTGCCCGGACGCCACGCCCCCTCTGACGTAGGTTACATTCAGAAGCCTCCTGGAGAGGAAGCAGGACCCAAAGGAAGGCAGAGAGCACTTTGCTCAGCCACCTCCAGCCCTCGACCCCCAACCTGTCAGGGCAGGCCAGAGTCAGGAATAGGGAGGGCCAAGGGTTGACAATTCTGGGTTCTGGAATTTTGTGCCCTTCCTTCTTTGCATCTGGCCAGGGCCCTCAGGTTGTTCCCTGGAGACCCTCAGAGTGACAGGGAGGGGCCTAAGGGCCTGAGAACAGGGACAGAAGGGGTTGGGAGCAGAGCAGTCACATATAGGGCCTGGAACCAAAGGTCAGGGCCCCCTGCCAGGCCACCTCTGAGCACCAGGATTCAGGGACTCATGGTCCAGGGTGTGGTCGAAGGTGGTCAGCACTGGCCCCAGGGCCCCATCATCGCTGAAGGAGCCCCACTCAACGCTGACGCAGACACGGCCCCGGTCTTCATCCAGCACCGCCACGTCCCGCGCCTCCTCCATGTAACACACGTTGGTGCCCGTGTCTGGCAGGGACAACCCTGTCAGGGCCCGCCCGACAGGCAGCGCACCCTCCACCCATCATCACAAATGGTCTGTGGCTCACCTACGACAAGCCCAACCTCACACGGCCTGGCCCCCAGCTCACAGCCCATCATGGTGCCCACTGTGTCGTTCACCACGGCAACCACGTCGATGTTGTAGGCCTGGACGATGGAAAGGGCAGAGGTCAAGGCTGGCCTGAGTGGCCAGAGCAGAGAGCCTGGGGGATGGGCAGGGCTGGGGCCCTGGCTTTGAAGGAGACACATAGAGTCCATGAAACACATGTCTGCATGCCCCACACAGTGCCACAGATGCTCTGGGCTCCCACCTTATAGGAGCTTTTCCTTCAATCCCACCCTCAGTCTCTCCGTAATCCCCACTGCGGGCCCCAGGTCACAGTGATGTCCACCTCAGCAGCTCCCAGGACCAGGATGGGTTTCCCGAGGCTGAGCGCCTCCTTGAAGGCTACGCCTTGCCAGCCTCACCATCATCCTGCCTGGCTCCCCCAGCCCATTCCTCCCAGCCTGGCTTCTCGCCACAGGGGCTTAGTCCAGACGGATCGGCCTTTCTCCAGCACTCACACTCCTCTGTGTGGCCTTCTCTGAGACTAGATCTTCCGCCCCAGTCCCAGCCTAAGTACCAGGCAAACTCCTCCTTCAAGTCCCTGATCAAACAGCCGGCGCTTCCTCCTTAGTACTCCCAGAGCTGTCCGCGCACACCTCCTCCACACGGACAATCTTTTATTAGAACGCTTCCCCCTCTAGACTGTGAAAACCTTCAGCAGAAGGTCAGTCTATTCATGTTTGTTTGCCAAGGGTCCTGAGCATTTATTTGACCTTTCTTAGCCTCAGTGTTTTTAAACCTATACAATGGGAGTGGCAGCATCATGCACCTGAGGTTAAACTGGATGAAGGATGTGAAGAGGGAAGGAAACCAGCTCTCCCAGAAGCCCAGACCCAACACGTGTGTGCCAGGCCCAGGCCAACATGGGCAGCCCTCCTGCCTCCCCTCCCTCCACTCACCCCCTGCCTCTGAATGGCATCTCTCAGCAGCTGGACCACATCCTCGCCTTCTACACCACTGCACCTAAAACCTTTTGTCCAGGAAATGAGGGTGCTCTGGAGGCAGAGAAGCTGGGTTACTCCTCTGATGGCTTTCATGGGGCTACAGCCACCCTCCATCCATGGTCCCCATGGCCACTCCACCTCACCCTGTCCAAGCCCGTCTGGTGACAAGGGAAAGAGAAGCTGAAGCCAAGCTGCAGACCTTGTTTGCTCACAGGCTGAGCATCCAGGAACTCAGACAGGCAGCGGGCAGCAAAGTCAAAGAGCTGTAAGACAGGCAAGGGGCTCAGCCTTGCCCATCTGAGCCCCAGCCACCCAGCCAGGCTCGCAGACCCCAGAGGCTGTGCAGTGAGTGCTTACCTGCTGGCCCGCACCCAGCATCACGTCTTGGGGTATCACAAACTCCTGGCTCCTGGGCTCCACCCTATGCCCCCCAATGCCAGTTAGAGTCACCCACAAAACACGCAGTGAGGCCCCTGTGGCCCCCAACTCCAGCACCACGAAGTCTCCTTGCTCTGGAGGGCAAGCAGGTCACAGAAAGGCACGCAGCTGGTAAGACCAGAGTCCTCTGCCCACTCCCCAAATTCCTAAAGCCTGCAAAGGTCTGGTCGAGGGGCCACAGAGATGGGGAACAGGGATAAGGAACATTTCCCTCCCTCAGATCAGTACCCTCTTCCAGGCCTGGCCACGCGTCTCAGTCTGTGCTACCCACCAGTGCCATGTGGGGTGGACCCCACATATGTAGGCAGCATCCGGACCGCAGGGACAGGGCTGGCCTGTCCCCTCAGTGCCTGCTCCATGGAACGCAAGAGGCTGGCTTGGATCTGCTGCAGCTGTGCTACTGTCACCTTGAACTGCTGCAGGCAGTCCTGTACCTGGGGAGAAACAGGCCAACATCTGGGAGGAGGCCTGCTGGGCTGGCCAGACTCCCCAGCTCCAACCAAGGCAGAGGCCTGCCCTGCCCGGCCCACTGCTTGGCTCTTCATACACCCTGGCTCTCTTGCCGACAGCCTGCATCCAGCTCTGGCATCCTCAGAAGGCTCTGTCCTGGAAAGAAAACCCACGTTCTTCCTCCTGCCCCATAACCTTACGGCTCCTTCCCAACTCCCTACATCCTCTACCCCACCCCGCTTCTTTGAATTCAGGGTTTGGCAAGACCTTTTTCCTGCAGTACCACAAATGATTGCTCTCTGGCTCCCCGGGACCCACAGCAAGAGTCTCTCAGTGAGTTGTTGAGTGAACAAGAGAATAAACAAATGCACAGACAAACCTCAAGTGTTTCCCTCTCCTAACCCACTCTCAGACTCTGCAAAAGCCCAGCTCGGAAGCATTTGGAGACCACACTGCAGAGGATGGTCCTTTCTTCGGTGGGTCATCCTTCCTGAAATATTGCTCAGGCCCTCACTCCACGCCCAGCTCTATTCTAAGCACCGTACACACTTAACCAACCAAGTCCTGCTCAGATTCCAGGGTGGAAGACAGAAATTAAGCACAGGAGCATACAATTTGGTTCCAGTAGTGATGGTGACGATTAAAGGGGGTGAATAGGTAGGAAATTTGAGAGTGACCAGGGTAGAAAGAGGTATTTTTAGACTTAAAGAGGGTTTCTCTGACGAGGTGACCTAATTGTAGAAAGGGAACAAGCCATTTGAAGACCCAGGGGAAGAGGAAGGGGATGGATTTGGGGAAGACAGATCTGGGGGTGGATCAGAGTCTGAAGGGGCAGGGGAGAAGGCAGGGAAGACAGAGGCCGGGACACTCCAGGCTCTCACTCCACCAGAGCGCAGTAGCTTAAGAGCCCCAGGGACCTCACTCCTGTGTGCCAAAAACCTCCCCTAGATGACCCTCTTGCCCATCCTTCGAAGAAGCCCAACAGCCTCCCTGGATTCATTAGAGGGTCACAGCCCAGTAACTCCATCCTCCTCAGGCTCAGACTTTCCAAAGCCCCCACCTCCTGTCACACAGGAGTTCCATTTCAATGACCTATTGCCCCCAACCGGACCTTTATCTGTGAAATAACCACTCAGGCACCTGGATCATGAGGCCCTTCCAGGGAGGAGCGGCTGGGAGGAGAGTCTGCCAGCTGAGAGAGGTAAGGACAACTCAGTCCCACCTCCTGCTTTAGGAAAAGAATGGGAAACAGATCCCTAAGGAGGCGAATAATCCTAACTGGGGTGCCAGATGTCCAGTTCATGTTCACCTTCCAGCACACGCTTCCAGCAGCCATGCATGCTAAGAGTGCCCATGCCCTCTCTACCTCACCCTGAGACTATCTGGTGACAAGGGAAAGAGAAGCTGAAGCCAAGCTTCAGACGTTTGCTCACGGCCTGCACATCCAGGAACTCAGGCAGCGGGCAGCAAAGTCTAAGAGCTGCAGGATAGGCAGAGTCTCAGCCTTGCCCCTCTGAGCGCCAGCCACCCACATGTTAGAAATGTGGAGATGGAGGCTCAGAGAGGGCAGCGTCTGCCTGGCCAAGCAGCTCTGAAGGGGTAGGGCAGAATCTGAACCCAGATCTGTCTGACTGGAGAGATGTTTCCACATCAATGCGAAGCTTTATACAAACTAGCAAGTTCCCTTGAAGAGAACCCACGGCTGATGAAAGTTGCTGGAAAGAAATCTCAGACGATCTAGCTTGAGAAAACTTACACCTGAACCCTCGCACTCCTGTTTTCTGGCTCTGTGGTCCCAGGAAAGTCATACCTCTCTCTGAGCCTCAGTCACCTCTTTGTGGAAATCTGAGAAAATAATAGTACTTGGAAGTCCCCCACTGCCAGGGATTATGTCTTGCTCAAGGCTCTATCTCAGGGCCATGAGGAGCACTAGCTGGAAGCAGGATTTGTTGATTGGATGGTTGTGGTGGCATAAGAACTAAAGGCAAAGTGCCGTTAGGATGGGAGGGGCGTTTTAGTATTGCTTAATGAAAACACTAGAGTCATGGACAAGTCAATGGCTTGGGTAAATTGTTTTTCTTCCTTTTTCTCTTGGGCACATTGAGATGTTCAGGAGGAGAGACCAGGAGACAGCAGAACTGCAGGAAAGACAGAAGGACCTCCCTGCAGATCCTGGTGAGGCGCACACAAGCCAGGAGAAGCTATTGGAGCCACTCCTGACATCCCAGGCAGAGCTGGGAGAGACCTCAGCCAGAAGAGCAAGGAGAAAGGCATTAGAGAGCGTGTGAAGTCCAATGTGGTTTCAACACTGGCTCTTGTCACCAACTTGCTGGCCTAGGCCCATCACCTCACATCTCTGAGCAAGTGACCCCTCTATCTGGCAGGAACAATAGTAGCCACTTCTCAGAGATGCCATGAGGACTGAGAAGACAGCAACCCTGAAATGGAGGAACAGTGCTACAGGTAGGAGATGCTCAGTAGAACACAGGTTCCCTTTCCTCAGAGCGCAAAGCACAACCAGCCTGAGGAGCCTGACTCCATACCCTCTCTGATGACGAAGAGAAAGCTGGGGGAAGGCGTTGGGAAGGGCCTCTGAGACAGGGCTGGGAACCGACCATGCATGGTTAACTAACCTTTTCTCAACCTAAGGCTGTGGTAAGGGGAGAACAGGGTAAGGCCTGTGGTGCCGAGGGGGAGCCCGGGACCGAGGGAAATTTGGGGTCCCTGTGAAGTCCCCCACAGCCAAAGGGAATTCTTTCAACTGCAGGTATATGTGATGGACCCAGCAGGGCAGATGTGGGCCTGCACAGGAGTGTCCTCAGGGAGGGGCAAGCAGGGAGGGAGGAGATGGCAGCAGGCCCCAGAGCAAGTTCTGGCCGGGCAGGCACCACGGCACGGTCACTGCTCCCTCCTGAGGCTCGGCTGTGGCTGTCGGTTGGACGTAGGAGAACTGTCTGCAGCAGGGTCTGGGGTACAGGTTGGACAAGGGGGAAGGGGGAGCATGAAATGTAGCAAGGGGTAACGCCGCCACAATCTGGACAACAAGCCTAGTCAAGTGGATGACAGAACATGCCAGAAAACTAAAGAAACGGCAGAGAATGACTCAGAAACACTTTAGTGGGCACCTCCTCTATGCAAGTTCTTTTTTTTGAAATGGAGTCTCGCTCTTGTTGCCCAGGCTGGAGTGCAGTGGCACAATCTCGGCTCACTGCAACCTCTGCCTCCTGGGTTCAAGCTATTCTCCTGCCTCTGCCTCCTGAGTAGCTGAGATTACAGGCGCCTGCCACCACGTCTGGCTAATTTTTGTATTTTTAGTAGATATGGGGTTTCACCATGTTGGCCAGGCTGGTCTTGAACTCCTGACCTCAGGTGATGCATCTGCCTTGCCCTCCCAAAGTGCTGGGATTACCCAGTCACATTAGAGTCCTTTATCTCCATTAGCCTTCGTGGGTGGGGAGTGTTAGACTTTATTTTCCTCCATTTTACTGATTATGAAACAGATACTAAGAGATATGAAATGGCTTACACAAGGGTTTCCTGCAAAAGGGTGTGGTATGTGACAGCTTCTGAATCTTGGTCAAGATGACAGAAAAAGAAGAAACTCACCGCCGAGCAAGCCTTAGGCCTGAGTTTGGCACTAAAATCATCTGTGTGCCTGACTGTAGTGGCTACACTGAGGAGGACATGCAGGAGGAACCGAAGCGGGAAGGAAAAGGTCTCAAGAACACAGGTTTTGACCAGAGAAGCCTGGGAAGGTCCACTCTAGACTGTGTCAACCCACTTGGGGCAGGAGCGGCACCAGTGTGTCAAGGTGGCGAAAGTGGTATGTTGGGAGCTGCAACACCTCAGCTCAAGCTCCTGCCATGTCTTAAACTCAAGCCGTATCACTTCTTTCTGCCCCTTTTCATCACTTTTAGTAACATGATCATCTCAACCTCGCAGTTGTTGGGAGCCTGAAAGGAGATTGTTACCATCTCAGATATGAAAAGCTTTGTAAAGTGGAAAGGGGCTGCATGGGCGAGAGCCCAGGGCCCCGTGCCAGCTTCAGTCACACTGCTCTTGACAGCCTTGAACAAGCATGAAACAGGGACCCAGTGCTGAACTTACCAGCTCTGAGCTGTCTGAGGGCTGGGGCAAGCCCTCCTCAGGGCAACTCAGGGCTTCTTCCCCCTGCTGCAACCCTTCAGACCCAATGGAGTCCATGAACTTCCACGTGGAGGCTGGCCACCTGTGGGAAAAAGCGACAACCGGGGTCAACCACTTACTCTACAGGTCCTAGGAATCTGTAACCCAGACCAATTTCCTTTCTTCTGAAGGGGACCAGGGAGGAAGTTGGCAGAATTCAGAACCTCCGACCATCAAAGATCCTGTAGCAGTCAACCAGAAGGCCCTTGTCTTCCAGAAGCACGCATAACGAAAGAGCACCGGAAAGGCTGATTTCAGTCCAAATGCCATTCATTCATTCTCTCAGTTCATTCACATTCACTAGTTCCTGATGCCTGCTATGCTGGATGTTGCGATACAGACGAAGCAGACCTAGGCCCTGCCCTCAGGGACCTCATAGTCTCATCAACAATCACAGTATGATTAGCACAGGCAGTGGGAGAGAGAGCCACGGGCAATTGATGGACATGCTGCTGTGGCCGGGCAGTCAGGGACATGCTAGCGGCTTGGAGCAAAGAAAGCAGCAAAGATCTGACAGAGAAGCAGGCAGGCTGGATAGGGACAGCCATTATCCCAGGCTAAGGCACATGAATTTTCATCCTGAAGGCAACAGAGGTCATGGACACGGGTGGGGGGTACCACTAGTGACATGATCTTGGGCAGGTCATTTATGACTTCTTTGAATTTCAGCTTCCATCTGTAAAACAGGCAGAAATAATATGTACCCTCACAAGGTTGTTGTGAGCACCAAATAGAGTAACACCTGGGGAAGTGCTTTATGAAATGTGATGTACAACATAAACATCAGGTGGGCGTGGACGGCGCAGTGGTACAGAGCAGAAAGAGGCTGGTGCTCAGAGGTGGGGAACCCGGCTCTTCACAAGGCAGCCGGGCCACAACTCCCGACCTCGAGGTTTAATCTTCATCTGCGAAATGGAACCAACATGTATCAAAGGGCTTTGTGGTGCATATGAGATAATGAAAACAAAAGAACTTGGCTGGGCCCCGTGGCTCACGCCTGTAATTCCAGCACTTTGGGAGGCTGAGACAGGTGGATCACCTGAGGTCAGGAGTTCAAGACCAGCCTGGCCAACATGACAAAACCCCATCTCTACTAAAAATATAAAAATTAGTCGGGTGTGGTGGTGAGCGCCTGTAATCCTAGCTCCTTAGGAGGCTGAGACAGGAGACTCGCTTGAACCCAGGAGGTAGAGGTTGCAGTGAGTAGAGACAGGGAGCCACTACACTCCAGCCTGGGTGACAGAGCAAGACTCCATCTCAAAAAAAAAAAAAAAAAAAACACTTGCTTAGATGTGCATTAAGATTTACGTAGCTGAATCTGAACTGAAACTCTATGAGTCTCAATTTCCTCTTCTAACATGGCAAGCTAAGTTCTGGTGAGGATTAAAGGAGTTAATGGTCCTTTGCACACTGTAGAGAACTGTAGAAATGTCAGATATTTTGCTCATCTGAGCAGGAGGTGGTATTGCTGTTCAGTATTCCCAAGGGAGCCCTCCGTGATTCAGATGCTCCTTAGGGGTGGAGGAAAAGGGAAACACAGCGGAGGGCCCAATATGGGAAGAGACATCTGTCCATGGAATCACTTCATCTCTCTTCCTTCCAACAGCAAAAGTTCTGGAAATACAGTACCTTCCCACCCCAGCAATCCCCTCCTCGCCTGCTCCCATTACTCTCACTAATTTGCCCTCCACTAGACTCCTAACTGCCCAATCCCGAGCCTTTTCCTCAGATCCCACCTTTACTGCCCTCTCTCAGACACGCAAATCCACTAGTCATTCTTTGCTGCAGAATTCTCCCCGTCCTTAGCTTTCACAGCCGGTCCCTCCCACGTGTCCTTCCTGAGTCTCTCCTAGTCTTCACCAGTAACTTAGCTTCCTTCAGGCAGTGGGGTTCCCAGGTTTCTGGTCATGCCCTCCCTCTGCACTCCCTTTATCTCACCCATTCCCAAGGTTTCATTAATAGCTAAGTTAGGGCTCCCAAATCTACCTTTGGCTTGAGCCAATCCTAAATCCCGATGGTCTGTTAGACATCACTAACTGGATGGTGGAGAAACTCCTCAAATTCAACAAAGCCACATTCATTTTTCCGTCAGTGTTCCCCCACAAAGCTCTTCTGTTCTCCACTTTGACTGGAGGCATCGCAGTGTGCTCGCACACGGCCATTCAGGTTGCCTGTGCACATCCTGACCCTCGCCTCCTCTATGCAATTGGATGTCAGGCTAAGAGCTCTCCTTTGCGTCCCCTCCTCCCCATTCCCACAGCCACTGAACCAGATCGTCCGGCCCGATTCTTACAACAGCTTCCTGATACCTCTGCTTCTAGTTTCTTCACCTCCTTACCCCACCTAAACTGATCACCTCTGCACTCATGGCCAGTACAGAGTCTAGCATATGTGCTAAGGTACCTTTCTAAAACTGGAAGTAAGGGGAGTGGGGAGTTTTCTCTTATTTAATAAAGCAACAAAGCAGCTTCTGATAAATCTCCCCCAAACCACACATATCTATGCTCTTCCCAAATCCATCAGACAGGGATGTGAAATGCTTGTTCTATGCTACGGGTCTATTTCAAGGATAAAGTGAAGTAAGTGGGACAATTACCTTTGAAAAGAAAGAAGGGCTATACACGTGGCCTTCTCCTTTCAAGGCCTAGGTAGCTCATTCATTCATTCACTCACTCATTCATTCCCTCATCCATTGGATATTCAGCATTTTTACATGACAGAATCTGTGAAGTAACCCCCAAGTAGCCTTAATATGTATATGGTAGGTACATGCTCAGCTCTGTCTCTTCCAACTGGGATTCCTTGTGGGAAGGGATGTGTCTCCTTCACTGCAGTATCCCCAGAGCCCAGCCTAAGGTCTGCACATGTTTGACTAAGGGACCCTTGGCTTTCCTTAGCTGAATGGGCTACCTGAAGTGAGTTTTCCTTCTGAAAAGTACCCCAGGGACCTCTGCTGATGTTGGGAGCTGCCATCAAGAACCAGTTGGCAAGCTGGGCGCGGTGGCTCACACCTGTAATCCCAGCACTTTGGGAGGCTGAGGCGGGCAGATTACTTGAGACCAGGAATTTGAGACTAGCCTGGGCAACATGGCAAAACCCCATCTCTACATAATAAAAATTTAAAAATTCGCTGGGTGTGGTGGTGTACGCCTGTAGTCTCAGCTGCTGGGAGATCGAGACAGGAGGATCACTTGAGCCCACGAGGTTGAGGCTACAGTGAGCCCTGACTGCCACTGCACTCCAGTCTGGGTGACAGAGAGAGACTCCGTCTCAAATTAAGAGAACCAGCTGGCTTAATCTTTCCAGTGTCCATTTCCCCTAGTGTGAGCCAAACAGGAGGGACGAGGACAAGACAGCTGCGGAAGGCACAGGCAGCAATTAGACAGGGGCGCTTACCTGGAACACACAGAAGCTGGTCGCTCTCCTCAGGCCTGAGCTCTTATCTGGCAATGTGAGGCACCCCAATGTACCCAAAAGTGACACTGTACTAAAAAGTGACACTCAGGGGTGACCCAAGTTATAATATCCTCAAACCCCACCCTTTTCCTCCACCACCGCTTACCAAACATCAGTTAATTCAGGAAGCTGTACTTCCTTCCAAGCCTGCCCTAGAGTAGCCCAGGCTAGGCAAGGCTGTGGTGAAAACTTGCAAGATGACCACAGCCAAGTCGAACCTCGGTCTGAGTCTAAGATTGTGGGATTCCCTCTACAATGCTGAGGGCTCTGTTTATTTTGTAAATGAGATTTGAGGTGGTGGCTCACCCCTGGAAGGAGCTTGAGGCACCTAGCCCAGGAAAGTTATTGTAAGTACTTCTGAGCAAGAGGCAATGTGGGAGCACAACAGAAAGCGGCTGACTCTGCCCAAGAGTGGGCAGGGCTAGCTGAGGAAGCTGAGCCGTGAAGAAAGAACAGCAGTATGCCCACAGAAGTGGTCCTTGGCAACGTGGAGAGCACATACAAAACCATGAATCACACACAGGTGCCTTCATGGAATGAGGTGCAGCTCCAGGCGCCTGAAGAGGATACATGAAGGTGGGGATACATGGTGGGAGAGGTGACAGACTGTGGAGTCTAGCCTTTAGTCTGTAGGCCAAGCAGAGAGATTGGTTCACATGGCAGGTCTTCTCTACTGAAGGAGAAGGGGAATCAGGCTGCTGTGGAGCTATTGGCCACCAGGCTCTTTTTCTGCAGAAATTTCTCCTCAAAGGCACAGAACTTTGGAGCACCAATGTAGGATACTAGACAGCCTGCAACAATCTTTGCTGAAGGCAAATTGGTGGATACACACTTTAAAGCTTCAGGCTGCCTCATCAGCAGTAACCTTATCATTATCCACAGATAGTACAAGGCCTCCGCATCAGGATGGAGACCAGCAACAGTATCTCCTCCATCAGTTGTGGCATGGTGAGGCCTGGAAACATGCCAAACATCCGTCCGGCTGTGCTGTCCACTGGGTACCAACCAGGCATATAGGCTGTGAAAGACAGGGAGGTGGGGATGGGGTGGCGGAGGGTAGAGTGCCTGTCACCCACAACATAGCATCCTGCCTAGCCTGGGATCCCAGTCCCTCACAACTTTGTTCAGTTGGGAGAGGAGAATTTGGATCTGAATATGAAAGGCCCAGCTGTGATTCATGCTGACAGCCTGCAATTTCTTGAGCCAGGGTGAGGATATGCCCCTAACAAGCATTGCCAGGGCTCTTCATCTGTGTTTCTGGAAGGTCTGTACCCAGACCCCAGGAACAGGGGTCCTGGTCCCCTAGTCATAATGCCAGGGAAAGTCCGGGTCAAGGTCAGTGGAGGGAGGATGGCTGAGCTTGAGTTCTGTGAGCAGCTGGGACAGCCTGGCTATAGCAGAGGCACTGCAGCTGCCAGTGGTTCTCTTCAGAAACCAGATGGCCACTGACCAACAAAAAGAAGGGTAAGTCCTGACAAGGTTCCCTCATAGCCCCTTAGCGCCAATCTCCAACTGTACAGATGGAGCTAAGGAATAAGGAAAGGCAGTTCACTGGGGGAGAGGTGGGCACAACCAGAGCACTGCCAACGAGCTGGGAGGTCAGGCCTTCCCTCTGAGCTTGCTCACAGGCTTGCTTCTCACCACCCACAGTGCCCAGCCAGGCACACAGATCCTCAATAAGCTCCCCCACAATTTGCTCCACACCCTTTATACCATGGATGTGCTTTGCAGCTCTCCTACACACATCATGCTACTTCTAACTATCATGTCTTTGTGATGACGTGTCTGGAATGGCCCTTGCTTTGTCCTCTCCCACCTTTTCACCTAATTCTTCCTCATCCCTTAAATTATAGTCAATGGGGAGCCCTCCCTGAAAAGCTTCTCCTGGCCGACCCCATTTGAGTGTGGTCTGCTTATTGATTCTGTATTATCTTGGATGTTCTTGTATCACTGCATTTATACCTGTTGATTAAAGGCATCTGCTTATGTGTCCATCTTTTCCATTGTACTGTGGGATCCCAGAGAATGTTTCTTATTCACCTGTGCAGCCTCAGAGCGCAGTTCTATATCTGGTAAGGAACAAATCTCAGTTAATTTTTGTTAAATTGAGGAGCCTTCCCACAACTTCAACAGTCCAGGGCTGGTCAGGTACGGTGGTGGCTCAATCCTGTAATCCCAGCACTCTGGGAGGCCGAGGCAGGTGGATCACTTGAGGTCAGGAGTTCAGGACCAGCCTGGGCAACATGGTGAAACCCCATCTCTTCTAAAAATAAAAAAATTAGCTGGGCGTGGTGTGCACCTGTAATCCCAGCTACTTGGGAGGCTGAGGCAGGAGAATCGCTTGAATCGGGTAGGCAGGGGTGGCAGTGAGCCGAGATCACGCCACTGTACTCCAGCCTGGGTGACAAGAGCAAGACTCTCAAAAAAAAAAAAAAAAAAAAAAAAAAAAAAAATCCAGGGCTTTTGAAACGGAGAGGAAATAAGTACTATCTTCCTGGTGCATATGGTTTCAGCAGTCTTTCACTCGTCCATCTTTCCACTGACAACTACCAACCCTCTCACCCACTTACAACCTGCCTTCCCCTCCCCAAATTCCCATCTGCTAACAACTTTAGGCCACAGCTACCCTGCGTCACAGGCAAAAATGAGCTGATCCAAACCTGAAATTTCCCTTGAGTCATTAGTTTTGTGACTGAAATGGAAAGTAGGAAGTAGTGTGGTTTAGTACAGCGAGCTTCAGCTCTGGGGTTGGGCAGACCTGGGTTCAAAATCCCATCCCATTACCAACTGAATGACCTTAGGCAAATCTCTTCACTTCGCTGAGCCTCGGTTTTCCTTGTATAAAACATGGAGATGAATTTCTTCATAGGATTTGCTTTACATTACATCCCCCCAGAAGCAGACCTAATTTGAATGCAAATAACTTTATTCAGGAAGCGATCCAGGACACGGCCAGAACTAGGGCAATGCAAGTGACATGCCTAGGGTACAGAAAGTAAAGAGACCCTTTCAGGTTCACACAGGTGCCAACCTTGCACTTAGATGAACCCAAGAATAAAGGCTCCTCACCCTAGTTCCAGTCCTGATCCAGAAAACACAGAAGAGGAGCTGGAAGCCAGGTAGGAAGAGAAAGAAGTCAACAAAGTGTATGTAACGTTCCTAGGAGCTTACAGAGGTTCACTCCCACAGGGAACACTGACAGGTAGAATGTGCCTTGGAGTTCTCTCTCCCTAAGTGAGGAAGCTGGGGTATTTATCCTACCACTTCCACTGGCTGAGAGCTGCCCCAGGGGCATTAATTCTCTGGCACTCCCAGCTTGTGTCAACACAAACCAAGAGAAGTTCTCAGGCAAAGAGTCAGGTTCTTACAATAGGATTCTGTGGGTATATAGCAGAATGGTGAGTGCTGGGGGGAAATGGGCCAGGCGCAACCTCTGCTGGGGCTGCTAGAAGGGCTGAATGAGAAACACAACTATAGTGCCTTACAAAGAGAAGTCTTCCTCTATCTCTTCTAATTTATGGCAATAGCTCGTGAAGTTCATGGAGCTTCCCAGCTCTCCGTGAGTTGGCAGCACCAGCAGAACAGCTGTTTGTCAACTTTCAGAAATAAAAGAAATCCAGGGGCCCTAGGAGAGCCTAGATGCCCAGGACCCAAGTTCCCTGTGGAAGCCTGAAGGTTGGTGGAGCCAGAGTAGTCCCTCCTGGGTACGCACTCCTCTGAAAACGATCTCCTCTTGCATCTGCACCGCCGCCCCCATCCTTCCACCCCTCGGTGCAACATCATTTGTGACACACAGACTAGCATCACATTAATAACAACTGCTGCCACTAATTCATTCTTCTGGGTGAAGACACTGTGTTAGAATCTTGATGCACATTATGGTAATCCTTAGAACCCTGTTGGTATGCTTTTACCAGATCTCAAAGAGGCTGACTTTTTATCAGAAGCAGGGTGCGGATGTAGGCTGATCTCACCCATTTTCCACTTTGTGTCTTCATTCTTTCACTAATGCTCCTCTCACAGGATCACAGGATGGGGAGAATAATATTGTGGGCAAATAAGACTGTTACGGGGAGGTGACAGGGGCAGCGGGTGGCTGTTCTTCCCTTGACTCCCCATTAGCTAATAATTAAGCCTATGGTTCCTGGTCTGGCTGATTCATACCCTCCTGCCATTGACTCATGTTTTAGGGAGACTGCTCAATTTTAAGCTAAATAATTCACTTTCCAGAAGTAGCCCTTTCCCTTTTCTTATCTTCAGGCAAACAGATACACACACTATCCCGTTTACAGAGCTCTACCTCCAATAAACTGCCATTTAATGAGACAGAAAACAAGCGAGAGTTAAGCTTATGAGACATAACTGATAAACTACTTTTCACTAGAAGGAAAACAAGAAAATAATACTGGAGTCAAAATACAGCATTTTCTTTAGGAATGAAGAGTAGAGGCAGTGTGGTCTTACTGCCGTGGACAAAAAGGGGCTTATTTGTTCCTCTAAGCCTTTGTTTCCTCATCTGGAAACTGAGATAATACCTACCCCAGAGGGCTGCTATGAGGATTAAATGAAGGCCATATACATTGCCTGAGATAGGGGCAAAAACAGAAGCCTAAGCACTGCCATCTCATAGAGAAGCCACCTGGGCCCTGGGCAAAGGTGTAATTCTCAAAACTTATTGTACTGCAGTTCTTCTCAGAGGTGTTAAGGGTAAAGATTTCCACTGCTACCCCACTCCCCTTGCAGCAAACTGCCAACTTTAGCTTCTGTACAGACAGCTTGACTTGCACACCCCTGGGTCCCCCTGAATAAGTTTTGCAGCTTAAAGGCCCTGCTCCCCCTGAGCTCGGGGCCACGGATTGGAGAGACATGAGTCCTCCGTGGCTGCCAGTAATAAAGACCCTGCATTTTGGCATACTTTTGTCTTGGTGTTGATTTTCTGCTCACTCCAGTGCTACACCTGGAGCATAGTAGTTGCTCAAAGAATAACAGTTATTTCTTATGTGATGCTAGCCACAAGGTCAGTGCCATC